AGCGAAAGCCAATATGTTTGGATGGCTATCCGTTAAGGTGTTGGATTTCCTAAATCTGCTTCGGGGATTGGGTTGATTTGGAAGTTCAACCTTGGCACGGAAGCGCAACTGGTGCTGGCTCCCAAGCAAGATAGGCTACATCATTACTAAAACATGAGCACCAAATTGGTTGGGTTGGTAATATGCTGATAATGAACTGTTGAAAAAGCTTTCTCGACGTAGAAAAAAATCTTCATAACTCCTTTCACATGATCTTTGCCTCAAATTGAGCAATGATTCGAAGTCATCATCCGAGAACATCTCTTTACAATTGACCGTTTCGTTCTCGGGGTGTTTCAAGTTATAGTTAATGGCAGATATTTTGTCTAACGATTAGGAGCTCTTGAAGGTGAAAGGGCGTGTATCGGGTACGGCAGCATTTCATTATTCGCAGACACTAGTCGAGCTAGTCAGATGTGCCCTTTCCCGTAATCAACGGACAGAGAGGTAATTGGAAGTGTAGTCCAGTGCGTTAAGCTGCTGTTTTGTTTTTTACCAGTACTGTGCCTGAAACTCGAATGCGCAGGCATAATTAAGATCATAGGTCAGTTGGCACAGTGCTGTTTTCATGTTACTGGAGAACCATGGGGGGAAAGTGCACCACATCTGGATTATCTGAGGAAAAATTTCCTGCTGCCTTTGCTGCGATACATAGCACCTACTGTAGCGTAGGAATCTGCTTGCCTCAAGATAACCTTAATTTTATCTACTCACCGTTCTAGTACCTAGAACTTGTCCCCTGAGCGCACATCTCCTGCCTGCCTAAAGCGGCATTTGCGCCTACTACCTTCCGAAGCGTTCTTTTTCTTAAAAAATTTCAGTAAAAAACAACAAACAGCAGCTTAACGCACTGGACTACACTTCCAATTACCTCAACTGTCCGTTGATTACGGGAAAGGGCACATCTGACTAGCTCGACTAGTGTCTGTGAATAGTGAAATGTACCGTACCCGATACACGCCCTTTCACCTTCAAGAGCTCCTAATCGTTAGACAAAATATCTGCCATTAACTATAACTTCAAACACCCCGAGAACGAAACGGTCAATTGTAAAGAGATGTTCTCGGATGATGACTTCGAATCATT